AACAAAGTGGTGTTCCTTGGGCCCCCCCCTTGAGTCCAAAGTAAAGGGAGAGGGGAAAAACCTGCTGGTGGGAGAGCTGTTGCAGTCTGGTCAAAAGTGGTGATTGCAGTCCAGTTGAGGGTGGTGGTCTCAGTCTGGTTGAGTGCGATGAGCTGCAGTCTTCCTCTGGATCCCACGAGTGGTAGAAAAGTTCTGAAACTCCAGGTTTATACATTCTCCAGTTCAGGCAGGAATGGTCAATCCTTCCCTCAGAGCGGGGAATTCCATAAAAGGGTATGAGGACAGGAATATCTTCCCACAGGCAGGCCCCCACCCCCCGACAACAGTTTCTGGGAAATGGCATGGAGGGCCATAGAATACACAGTTTTGGGCTATACCCATCCAGTGATGAATCGGTCCCAGCTGTTCTAGGACACTCACCAAAACACACTACATGCTACTTCCCATTAATTTCTAATTATATCCCATGTATGTATCATATGATTGTTTAGTCCCTAATTACCTTAATAAAATGGCTCAAGTTCCTTCCTGAGGGTAGGAAAGAATGCATTTCTATCAATACCGAGTATCAACGCACTCCAAAAGTGCTCTTGTACTGGACACAAGATGATATATTTGAATAAATAAATTAAAATAAAATGAAAAAAAATAAATCACACCCAGAAATGCAATCAAACTAACCTGCTGATACAAAATAAATTATTGTTATTAGTGTTGAGTAAACAATATTGCTAAATCAATTACACTTTTCATAATTACTATATACTGTTATGTTTTTATTAAATAGCAATAGTCTAAACACTTTATCTAACAACTCCATTGTGATGGGCTCTGTCAAAACACAAATCACAGTCTATAACCCTAAAAATATTTATCGGCAATCAAGTGAGATAAAAAGTAAATGGAAGAAACAAACCTAGTCAGTGAGAAAATTCAAGTGATAACAGAAAAATAAACCTTCCACCTGCCTTTCTGTTTCTTGTTTCACAAGGTACAAAACAGCGAGAGAGAGGAAAGTCCATCCATCGATAAAAAAATGGATCTGTACTGGGACCTCTGCAGTCCAATATATGACCTGAAAATAGGGATAAACAGTACTCAGATAAAACAAACCCATTCCAAAAAGTTCCACCTAAAGTTGATTCTAAGACTTGCAGAAAGATCCTGCAATATTAAATCACTTCTGATAAAATGGCAAATGAAAATTGATGTTTATAAATGCCAAGTATAACCTTCACCAAATGCAATGATGAGCATTTATTTAGTTGTTACTAATTTGGAAAGACATTTTGGAAAGCTGGTGAAGCATCACTTACCTGAAACCTCAATTCTGTACTTAGCAGAGGTCAAAAAATAGGAAAGTCACTCAAATCAAGAAATGGGTAGAGAAAAATTATATATTATATACTTCAGAATGGGTATATTATATCTAAAAAATACCAACCAAGACCAGAAAGAGGTAAGAAGATTAAGCACAAGCATGGAATAATCCCACACAAAGGAATAAGACACAAAAACTCCCCATGAAATCTCCAATTCAGAGCATTATGATAGATCTCATGAATTACATCAAAGTCATAAAATGCATAAAGCTCATTAATAAATCATTTTCAAGAGGATCTCATACTATTTCAATATTCTTAGTGTACCAGGTGCCAGAAGCTGAAACCCATCAACAGAACCGGCTACAAAAATAGTACTGGGAGATGTTAAGGCCATGGTGGAAAACCCAAGACAACTTCCCGAGTCTGTGTTCTGCTGCTGGAACACTTCATCACTGGACTTCTCCCTGATCTGTTTCAAAATGAGTTGATGACTTACAAAGAGGTTCATGAGTTAAGAATACACAAAATGAACAGTGATAGATTCTCAACAGATTCTGTTCATCCAGGAATCTCAAGGATGCAGTAACTGAAATGCTAATTGTGGTATAAATTCTTGCTTAAAACTTTATTGGCATCTAAGAAGTGGATTGTATAAAATGTTACATTATTTCTTAGAATTGTTTCTAGGGGAAAGATGGGAACTACAGACCATTAAAACTGATGCCTATTCTGCACAGACTAGTACAAATATATATATATATTAGTGCACACAGGGACAGATATGATTTACCAGGGAAAGGTCAACAGGGTTTTGTTGACATTGTTCTTCCAAAGAGAAGTCTTGCCTTATACACTCAGTATGAAGTTTTCTGAATGTGTCAGTAAGTACTTGGATAAGAGGGATTGCAGAGATACAGTTTCCTGAGATTTCTGAATCACTTTCAAGACTTTCTTGCCAAAGGCTCTTAAGGAGACTAAGCAACCATGGGATAAGAGAGAAGATCCCAGCATGGATTAAAATGCAGTTAAAAGACTAAGTAAATGGTCAGTTTTCACAGTAAGAGGCCACTAATGCACCTTCACATCTCTGTGCTTATTCATAAACAATTTGAATAAGGCAAGGAGTGACAAGACAAAGATTGCTGATGGTATCGTGTTATTCATGGAGGGAAAGAAAAGGTGTGGCTGAGAACTGCAGAAAGACCTTTCACTATTTGGGGCTCAATCACCCGCACTCATTGGAGACATCTTATTGGCTCTGGCACAGGACTCGATGGAGACCCACAAGGCTCCTCTGAAGCCTCAGTCAGACCCTCTGTGTCATCTGGGATAGTGCTGGACACCCACATGGGGGCAACTGAACACAGGCCTCAGTGCCGGCAGGAAAACAACTGATGATCGTGAAGACAGACACATGTAAAATTATGCACATGGGGAAAAGACAGTCCTACATCACATGGAATAATGGTGTCTGAACTGACCACCAAACTGCAGGAGTGAGAGCTGGGAAGTTTAATGTTATTTGTAGAACAACGGCAGCTTAGTGGAGATCAACACCACATTGAATACTAAAAACATTTAGTGACAATACTGAGAACAAGGCAGGGAATATTGTTATGCCACTTTATAAACCCACTGTGCTTCTGTCAGGAACACTATATGCAGTTCCAGTCCCACCACTACAAACAGGAATAGCAGAAATGGTAATATAGAATAACAACAAACACTTCCTTGGAAAGAACAAATTTCACTTGGACTTGTCAGTTTGGAAGAGAAGCCTTACCAGACTGAAAGGGGATCTTGTGGAGCCCACAGAGTGGTGACTGATACAGAGAAGGCAAAATTGTTTTACTTCTTACTTTCCAAAGCAAGAAGCAGGGGTGGATCATCAGACGGTGTCACAAATGTCAGGAAAGCAAGGAAAGTGATTGTTCATATATACAGTGACGTGCCGGAACTCCCTGCAATGGGATGTTATGGATGCTACAAGCTTACAAGTAGCAGAAGGTCACGGAATCACAGAATGGGTAAGGTTGGAAGGGACCACAGTGGGTCATCTGGTCCAACCTCCCTGCTCAGGCAGGGTTATCCTAGAGCACATGGCACAGAATTGCATCCTGATGGTTCTAGAATATCTCCAGTGAAGGACACTCCACAACCTCTCTGGGAAATCTGTTTCTGTGTGAGGTCACTGCACAGTAAAAAAGTTCTTCCTCATGTTCAGGTGGAACTTCCTGAGCATCAAGTCAACTGGACAAATGTATGGAGGAGATATAGTGAGAGCTGCTAAGCAAGACACTACCACCTCTGATTTTGGGAGTCACTAGATGCAAATTGTTGGAAGTTCAAAGTGGATCCACTGGAAGCTTCCCCAGCGGTTTGGCCTCTTATAATCTTCCCATCTTTCGAGACAAGAACTGGGAGACACCCTCTTGGTTTAAGCAGTATATCTGACCTTACCTTCTTATGAAAAATTGAAAAAGGAATAATTCTATTGATGCTATTTAAGTATTTCAGGTTAAATAACGAGCAGCACAGCTTAAGCAGGATAGGGTTTTTCTCCATTTTTGATGATTACATCACTTGCAATCATCTTTGCCAGAGACATCCGCAAAAAGGTAAGAGATCAAGGTAATTCTGGAGAACATTAACTGGAGCACTACAGCATAGCTGTAACTCAGGTATGTTTCCCTGTTTTTTTGTCTCAATAAGGTGTTGCTGTTTGGGAACAGTTGACTATGGATCCATCAGTTATTATTTGTACTGAAGGCCACAATCCTCAATCGTGCTGTGAAAACTACACAAAACCTTGTAAAGTCACCAGTAGAGTCACTTGCATGGGAGGAGGAGAAGCTGCAAACGCAGCTGTGAGTGGCACCACTGAGTGTGCGGGACCCGAGAGCGCTGGGGTCCTGCCTGGGGAGATCCACCCCCCCGGCTCTCCCCAGGGACAGGCTGCAGAATCCAGAGCCCCTCCCTTTCCAGAGGTCTGTTCCCACTCTGGGAGGCTGGTGAGGGGGCTGTGGTGAGGATGCCCCAAGAAAGCAAGTGCCCTTGGTTGGAAAAGCATTGGCAACAAGTCAAGGGAGGTGATCCTGCCCCTTCCACCCAGCCCTGAAGAGGCCACATCTGGACTGATGTGCCCAGTTCTGGCCTGCTCAGTACAGGAGAGACATGGAGCTGCTAGAGCAGGTCCAGCGGAGGGCAATGTGGATGATTTGGGGACTGGAGCATCTCTGAGGAAAAGCTGAGGGAGCTGGGCCTGTTCAGCCTTGAGAATAGACAACTGAGGGGGAACCCCATCGATGTCTGTAAGTATCTGAATGGAGCCAGGCTCTTCTCAGTGGTGCCAAGCAATAGAACAAGAGGCAAAGGGCAGAAACTGATGCACAGAAGTTCCACCTGAACATGAGGAAGAACTTTACTATGAGTGACCTCATACTGGAACAGACTGACCACAGAGATTGTGGACTCTCCCTCACTGGAGATATTCCAAGAACCATCTGGACGCAATCCTGTGCCGTGTGGTGTAAATCGACCTTACTGGAGCAGGGAGGTTGGACCAGATGACCCACTGTGGTCCCTTCCACCCCGACCCATTCCCTGATTCTGTGAAGGCAGCACTCGGCACCTCACGCCCTCACAGCGCAGCCGGCGCTAGAGAGCACGGCCGCCGTGACTCCTCCCGCGCCGCACCGAGGGACCTCACCCCAGATCCTCACGGGCTGCCCGGGGCCGCCGCTCCGCCTCCCCCTCCCGCTGCTCCCGCTCCCGCCCCGGCC